AACGGAAACTAAAAATTTTGCAATGTTTCCTTTTATAAAGGGGCATAACTCTAGATCGGTTAAAGTGACGCCACCAAAATTCAAACTTGATCTGTGTTTTGTGGTAATAAGCATTGTGTATAAGTTTCATAACATTTGGTTGAGGCAAACTCAAGTTAGAGAACGGAAACCAATTTCGGGACGTACGGACGGACGTACGTACGTACGTACGTACAGACGGACAAGGGTAAAACTTAATGCCCCCTCCGCTACGGCGGGGGCATAATAATAAAAAACTGCAAAATTTTGTTAAAACTACCAATTAGGTGGCAGCAACCCAACAATGGGTTGTTCGATTCGTCTGAAAATTTCACGGCCGATAGATCTTGACCAATTGAACAATTTTACCCCATGTCAGATTTGCTCTAAAAGCTTTAGTTTTTGAGATATAAGCCAAAAACTGCATTTGACCCCTATGTTCTATTTTTAGCCATGGTGGCCATTTTTGTCGATGGATCAAAACTTCGGATACAATTTATAAACTAGATACCCTAAGGAACATTTAGTTAAAGTTTGAAGGTATTTGGCCCAGTAGTTTCAGAGAAAAAGATTTTTGAAATAGTTTACGACGACAGACGACGACGGACGCCAAGTGATGGCATAAGCTCACATGGGGCCCTTTGGGCCCCGATGAGCTAAAAATAATGGTGCTTTGAAACACCCAAGATATATGTTTATGACTCAGAATTTTTTTTACTGCAATGAAATGTAGGATTAATTTCCTACAACTGTCAAATTCAAGGGAATATTTTTTTGCGACCCTTTTTCATATGCATGATATGCAACTGGATGTGACCTACTATGATTTGGTGGTAAATGTATTACACCTAAGGAAGACTTTTTTGTTGAATAAACTGAATGTGATTTTTTCCTTTTGTTATACTGGTTATTTCAAGCATTACTGTCAAGTTTTGTCATAATCAGTTTAACAGTTTGAGAAAAATCTTAGTATAATGTAAGACAACATCTACAGCGATTCGAGCAAAATTTCTTCAAAAAATCCAAATCAAGCTGCATCATGATAGAATATAGTGAGGACCAATAAAGGATCAAATATTTATTTCATCTGCCTAAAAACAGTGGAATATGATACATAAGATGACTCTAAGATGATAAATACCACTAATGGACCTCTTTGTCTTCATTATAAGGTCCCTTTTGGTCCATTTATACCTCTTATTTCCTCAACATTTCAACTTTTTAGGCCAATAAATAAAAATTTTGGGGTAACTTTCACTCATTTATGAAAGAAATGTGATAATAAATGAGTAATTGAAGTATTCAAGCTGAATGAACTATCCATATTAAAGTTTACCGACTCCATGGAGGTTTCAATAAGTCCTTATGTAAAACTTAAATTTACACCGCGTTCCAGAGAGGGACATAAAAAGCTTCCCTTTTAGTGAATAATTTGTTGTTACTGCTTCAAAAATAATTTCATTTACTAATAACTATATATTTATTAAAGTATTACTTAGGAAAAAGTTTTCTATTATAGCAAGATATAAGAAATAAGGAGAAAAAGTCAGAAAAAGCTCTTCAAAACACTGAGTATGGCTTGCTCTGTCTACTAATATTCACGGTAGAGTCCTATTTCAAGGCAATTTTCTCATAAAATGTGTTTTGGAGACTCAATCCAATCATAATATTTCAATATAAAATATTTGAGTTAGTATCTGGAAACCAAAATGAATTCCATAAAGCAATTATCATGCACAAATGTATGTCTATTTTTAGTAAAGTTATGACCTTTATCTGGACCTTTGAGGTCACACCTAAAAATCAAAAGGAATCTTCATCTCATTACATGCAACAATTTATCCAGAAAACACTTTCCTGTACAAATGTTCATCCATTTCTAGTCACTTTAAATTAGACCCTAGACCTAGTAGAAGCATAAAATCACTAGGATCCTTCCTCTTCAAATCCAAGTATTGTACAATATGTTTAAATCTTTTGAGTTTGCATCTGGAAACCAAAATAACTAACTGAAACCAATTTTCTGCAAAAATTTCAGTCTATTTTTAGTAACTTTAACTTTAACCTGAGACCACAAACGTGATAAGGATCTCTCTTATGTCAAATGATGGTTGTATTCTACATGGCTAACACACTACAACTAAATATTGTCGTACTCAAGCCAAATATAAAACAAATCCCTTCCATACAAACCAATAAAAGTTTAACCAAAGTTTTCTACCCAAGGTCTCTCGAATAGACAGAGTGGTTACTAAGACCTGATTTCCCTGTTTGTGATGCAGGTAAAACCAAAAAACTGTGAAATTCGCAAAAAATGGACATTTCAGGGGCAATTACTCTAAAATAGGTTATCCAATTTTTCTGAAAATGTTAAGGTGAATAGAATTATACCTGCTGATAATTTTCACCCAATTAGTGTCATTCTAACAGTCTTAGTTTTTGAGATAACAGCCAAAAACTCTTTAAGTTTTATGCATTTGGTCTATTTTCAGCAACATAAGCCATGATTGTTGATGGATTAAAACCCTGGAAATATTTGTTAAAGTAGATTCCTTAAGCATGTGCTAAGGAACATTCAGGAAAAGTTCAGTAGAATTTGATTCTGTGGTCTCAGAAGAGTTTTTAAAAGATAATGACCATGGAAAGACGACTGACCACACACACCAGGTGTTGGCAATAGATCACTTAGCCCTTTGGGTCAGGCCATGCCTAAGTGAGATAATAAAAAGCATAAATCTATACATTATTATTTTTAAATTTATTTTCAGCATAGGCTCCAACTATATCAAATAGTTATCACTATAATCAGCTGATAATTAAGTACTAGTAAATGAAATCATGTTTATACAATATGTGCACCTTCCATGTAACTTTTTTTACATTTCTGTATTAACATGTTACTTTTGTTCCCACTCTTAAGTGGTACTCCTTATGAACATGTTTTTTCAGATCTATTTAAGTTGTCTGCTTGTAAAATTATTTTTGTTTGTATCACAAAGCTACCAATGCTTCGTGTAGGACTTTGGCCCATGTAATTATATAGGACTTTGAACCATGTATTTATAATGTGCCAAATTTGGAAAACATAAGTTGAGCTGTTTTAAGCCAATGTAAATATAAATTGTTTAATTTTCTTGCTCTTTATTCATGTTAAAGCATCAAAACATGTTTTTCCAAGACAAAGTACTAGCGTTTGACTCAAAATTAATTGCTTTAATTTTTTTTTTATCGCTTTTTGATAAAATTAATTTGAAGGAAAAATGTAAAACACTGAAAGACATTCTTATTGTTTTGCAATTAAAAAAAACCCTCTGTGACTTTACAAGATGAAGGTGTGATCAAAAGAACTAATTGAAGAATATGTCACAATGTTAGCATGGTCACTCTGTACATTAAATCAGTCATGTCATGTTTGTTTTGAAGTTTTTTGTTGGAACTTGAATGCCTCCATTCTGTTCAAAGTATATCTAAAGTTGATCTAATCACAAAAAATTGTAAAAATAGACTAGGAAAAATCCTGAACAAATATTACAAATGGATCATAGTGGAAACATATTAAAATAAACTAATGACATGTTCCAAGTATTGCTTTAAGTAAGTTTTACAAATTATCATAATAGATATCGATCTACTGTTTAAACAGCCAATAAGCAAAGTAACACATTAACTCTCTCTCTCTCTCTCTCTTTAATTGAGCAAATTCAAATTATATTCAATCCACAATCTTTTCTCATACAAATTTTCATCAATTTCACTATTCACACTTGTGTATGAAATTTTTTTCAGTTAAACACATTTTTGACATCAAACGAAGCGAAGACCTCTTTATATAAAAACAACCAGATTTGTTCAAATTAAAGACAACTGTCAACATTATAACACAGAAAAAGATTACAAATGTTAAAAGTCTGTCTTGTGGAGTAAAGGATGTCTGGATTACATTTTCACTAATACTCAGATGATACATGCATAGAATTCACAATGTTATTGTCACAAAAAAAGAAGAAATACAAGGCTCTTTTACTTTAAAATGTTCAACAAAAATTTTGGTAAGTTTGCATGCTAAATTTGTTACTGTGAAGTCAGTAGACATTAAACATGTTAAATATCAATCAATCATGGAAAAAAAATGTCTTTTTCCCCCCTTTCAAAGATATATTTCAATACTCTCCCAAGTGAACATGATGCTATCTTATTAGATTTTGTTATAGTCCAAAAATGACAGAGCAGTTACTTAACATGAGCAGTAGATGTCTTTGTTTAGTTATACAGTTACATTGTAACTCTCATTAATAAATGCTTAGCAACCCAGAAACAAATGTTTGACAAATGTTTTGATCTAAAACTTGAGAATTTCAGAGGTTGTAAAAATAATACTTGCATTGATAAATTTTGAAAGAAGCATTAAGAAAATTAAAATCTAACAAATTTACTCATACAATTAAATATAACTTACACATGTTACAAGTATATAAACAAATAAAGCATTACCTCTAACTGATATAATGGCTAAAAAAATAATCATAATTTATTTACTTTCCTTCATTTTTTTGCAATTTAGAAAAAATTATAATTAAATAAGAAATTGTTGAGTTATATAATTTAAATCACTTGCATTAATGTAACGCACAAAACTGTTGTGGTACATTAAGTAACAGACATGGAAACTTGGACCAGTAGTATACATGTATGTCATAAGAATGCTTAAAAGTCATATTTCACCCAAAAATTACCTCTAGCAGTGGGTTTATTTTTACCATGTTTACTAGTGTTAGAACATGCCCATGCCAGGAAATGTGTTTAAACAATCCAGAAAAATATGTGGAAAAAAAAAATCATCAGACACAAGGCATACAATTCTGATGCCAGACTCCTGTTTCGTCTACAAATGTGAAATGACTCTGGATTTTTCTAGCATTCCCAATGCCACAAACCCTAAATTTTTCTTAATTTCGGAAGGAAAAATTCCCAAAGGATCGCAATAAATCCATTAGTTATCCTTACCGAAACTAAGCTCTTCACTTTGAAGGTGAAAAAGGCAGTAAATTCTTATCACATGTGCACTTTAAGAAGTACGGTATTTTGATACTAAAATAAAATATTTTTAAAGAAGTACGGTATTTTGATACTAAAATAAAATATTTTTAAAGAAGTACTGTATTTTGATACTAAAATAAAATATTTTTAATGAAGTACGGTATTTTGATACTAAAATAAAATATTTTTAAACATGTTTCTGTTAGTTATTTTCTGAAGAACTAAACACACTAAAACTCACATCTGGTATATTTGTTGTTTTCCCAATTTTATTGAAAGTCTCGTAAAAAATTTCCAAAACTGCCCAGGGTCTTTTCCCAAAATACCAAGAAAAACCTCATTACTCTTTAGTGATGCTCGAAATATAAACATTAAACATGTTAAAGAACCAAATAAGAGCCTTAAGGACACAAAATTCTGAAAAGTTCCGCCAAATACAGCTAATTTACTAGGTATAAACTATTCCCGGGGTAGTAAATCCCTAATACAGTCAGGGGTACTTATTGTATAAGTTATTTTTGTTTACTTGAAGAAGTAAATATTAATGTAATTGTATAAGTAAAATTTGAAAGATACTTATACAAGTGTATTTTATTTACTTGTATAGGTAAATTATTTTAATGGCTTAGTTATGTCCCTTAGACTTTCAGATTTTTTTACTTATACAAGTAAAAAAGTCATACTATCTTCTTTTCTTGAATTTCTCAGGACTTCTATGCCCTAAAAGAATTTTTAATTGTCTGTCCTTTGCAGATGTCTTTACTAATCATTGAAGGGGCAATTTTTGAAGGCCTTGTACAATTAGTTTCTCTGTTGAATTAATGAGATGAAACATTGAACTTTAATAAAAAATTATGAGCTAACCAGAGAAAAATTGTTTAAGGCATGTTTTTACATCCCAAACTTGAGAATTTTTGGGATTGTAAAAATAAATTACTTATACAAGTAAATTTTTTGAGAAAATTTAGGGGAGATTATTCAAACCTTACACATGCTTTATAAGAAAATATGAATATAACAAATTTCCTTGTATAAGTATATTATTATTTACTTCTTCAACTAAATAAAAATAACTTGTACAAGTAGTACCCCTGACTGTAATAGTTGGGACAATTCAAAGTTGTGTTAACATTTATTTTACAAATATGACCATATCAATGATAACTCATTTCAGCACAGACGTGTTGACTACTGGCCATTGGGATGGTGACTTGACATAGTTACATTGTCAATGACTGTACACTTAAAATAAAACCCTAGAACTGTGAGCTCATGGAGAAAAAAAAAAAAAAAATATAAACATAAAACAGATACAACATTACCATTTGTACAATGACTTAAGTCACACACAATACAATATATATCACACATTGTCCAAGTATACTATATTAGCATCCATCCTCATCACAGGCATCACACAAGTCTTCTTTGAGAAACACTTATAATCAACAAGGACTTTTCTAGTTCTTCACTCTGTACCAAACAATATCCCTCGCATGTTTTCCAATCATAAACAATCACCTGAAAGATATACATGTATATAATATCTTTTCTACTGAAAAATGAAGCTGTAAGGTGTGAAATTGTTTCTATTAGCTATAGATACTAATACCAAAATATACATGTTTATTCAATATTAGTTTTATTTTAGTGTTGTTTTTTCTATATGAATTGGATTTTGAATAAAACAGCATATTCAATATATATATACTTCAATATTATAACGTGTTAAAAGCCTTTTGTAAGTTCATAGTACAACTCCTCCTAAACATGCTAAACAGCTGAACCAATATTTATGAACATGATGAAACTTTAAAACACAACTCTGTTCAAAGTTTCATCAACATCCATCCAGCTTGTGAGGAAAGTTGTGCTTACAACATGTACAAGGCTCATGGACAGACAAACAGCTGATTCCTATCTACATTAACAACCATTCCCCCCCCCCCCCCCCCCCCCCCAAAAAAAAAGAAGACTTTGCTCAAAATCTTTTACAACTACTAGTCCGAAGAGCAATATTCTGATATTTTTTCTTATGTGTCTAAACAAAATTTTGCAAATACTTGCTAGTCCAAATAAAGTTTTACTAGTTTGGTGCTTCGGACTAGTGGCTAACTGTGCAGACTGCTATGGTCCTGATTTGATTAAAGTTTGGTAAAGCATATTTATTGAGTGTCTAGAACCTTACTGTTGTTGACTGTGGGACATGTGGGGAAAATACACATTGTATTGGGTTGTATTGAATATGTTATCATGATTATGGTTTAGGTATGTTCCTGTACAAATGTTAGTAGTCCTTTGTTAATTTATGTTCATGATGTTGATCATTGTCATTTTGCTTAGTTTCTTCTGTTACAAAAATGTACCTATTCTAACATCAGACTTGGACTTCTTTTAAACTGAGTTTTACAGTGCATATTGCTGTGTTTGTTTATTCTATATTGGCTAGAGGTATAGAGGGAGGGTTGAGATCTCACAAAACATGTTTAACCCGTCGCATATTTGCGCCTGTCCCAAGTCAGGAACCTCTGGCCTTTGATAGTCTTTTATGTTTTTTTAATTTTGGTTCATTTAAATGTTTCAGAGTTTAATGTGATGTCCATTTTCTCTGAACTAGTATACATTTTTGTTTAGGGGCCAGCTAAAGCACGCCTCTGGATTTTCTTGCTGTGTTGAAGACCCATTAGTGGCCTAGGGCTATTTGCTGCTCTTTGGTCAGGTTGTTGTCTCTGAAAGATTCCCTGTTTCCATTCTCAATTTTATTATTGTTTGTAAAGTTGTCATTTTATTTATTTTGCATATAGCTATTAGCAAGCTGCCACTGCTAATGCATCATCTAGCCTTGTTTGAAAATGACCATGGCAAATGAAACATGCTGTAGGAATAATTGAAAATATACATGTTCTTTGCAATTGTAACTACAATTGTAAGTACATGAATACCAAATTCCTTCATGTCCTTTAGCTTGTAAAGTGGGTTTCAAAATTACCTATTAATCTGTCTTGTCTGTGTTTAATTATGTTTAATATTTTACAGACTTATCAATCCAGTAAAATTACTTCCCTTGACATGACATGTACATGTATATATACATCATGTCCTAAGTTTTTTTGTTGTACTTACTTCTCAAAAACTCAATATCTCATTCTTAGAGTATGGATGGTCCTTTTGTGTGTTCAACATTTGTTTATAGTAGATTTTTTCCTCTTCTGCTGCTGTTTCTTCACAGGAATCTGTATCTGATTCTGATAAATCCATATCTAGACTCTCAACGGACCCTAAATGTTGATGTGTTTGTATTGTATGAAAACTATAATTGTGATCAAAATTTGACAGTTTGTTCTTCACTGCATGCATACTAAATAATGATGCATCTGCTTTTCCACTTTGTTCCATGTTCAAATTACACTTTGAATGCTTTGACTTTTTGGAATTTAACTTTTCAGGATCATTAAATGAAAACTTTCCTCTTATGTCATAATTGTGATCATTTCGAAACAGATCCTGAGGCTCGGTACATGCAAAAGATTTAGTACAAGTGTGATCATTACTTGTATAAATAAGGGAACTTTCATCACGAGCATAAGTATGGTCACAGACAGTTTGCTGACTGAAAAGCTGACCTGTGTCAATGTTTTTTGCCAAGTTATCATTCATAAACTCTTTGAAAGTGTTTTCTTTTGGCCATGAACTGCAGAGCTTATTTGAAGCTCCCTCATCAACCAATGGCGCTTTCAATATGTCAGCTGAGGAGTCTGCGACAACCTGTTCACAAGAATGGCTCTTTTTAGAAATAAGGGAGAAGTCATTAACTGATAATTTTACGTTATCTGAGGTAGAGACAGTTGTTAAATTTTCTTCAGATGAACATCTTTTCAGGTTGTATTTTGCTCTTCCTCTAAGTTCTGTTCTACTACATGTAGAATAATTGTGATCTTTTTCTTTCACTCGTAAACATTGTTCATCTAAAGTTTGTGGAACATCATAATTTCTGGCATAGTTATGGTCTTCCCCTTGGTCTTGTAATGCAATGGCCAAATCTGCCAAAGTCAGAAGCGACAGACTTCCAATTCCGACACCTTTTTCATTCATATCTGTTTCCATTTCTTATTGAATTGGGATATACAGTTACGTGCTCTGTGTGTTAAGTAAGCGTGGATATACTATGTTTACAAACGGTAGCTTTTACTTCCCGTTATTCCAATATTGTCTTCCACGCAGTAAGCAAAGTACATCTGTCCTGAGTAAACCTGAAGAGCTTCGGAAAGGGGACATAATCATTAAAATATTTCCCGCGGATTTTTCTATCTCCCAAAAATTGACTTTTGACTTTATGTGTGAAACAGGGGGTAAATAGTGAAATTGTCTATCATTCTTGAAATTATGAAAAAATAGTACTCCCACTTTCAATTTGGCTCAAACCCATTGTGAAGGTGTTAACTTGGTATCAGGTCGTTCCGGCCCCAAACCGATCCGGTCCCAAGTCGTCCCGGCCCAAAGTCGATCCGTCCCACGTCGATCCGTCCCACGTCGATCCGTCCCATGTTAACCCGAATAGTCTAGTCGTTATATTTCACTCACTTCGATTGATTAGTCTACAATTGGTTTGTTTATTCAACAACTGTCTGATGATCGTGAACCAAATTAACGCCAGTCGTAATCACTTAATTCAATCATGATTAATAAAATTTCCTTAAGCAACAAGGTCTTTTATTTGAAGTTCTAATAATCAATTGTTATATTTTTTTTTAGATAATACGAAGAAGAAATGTACTTTTATTTCTTTTCCCCATTGTCTTCTCTGTGTTCTCGAATTGTGATTAGAGATCGGCTTGTACAGTTGTGTATATATGTTTTTATCATAATCGTGCATACCCAATAGCCTTGAAAACTTGTAATAAAAACTTAACCCCCCCTTTTATGTTAATTTATTGTTTACTAAAATCCAGAGATGGATGTCTGATACAATATGTCTTAATGCTATATGGTATATCGGTACAAATAAATGTTTTATTTCAGACGCATTTGAAATAGTCAATCTTTGTACAAATAGTATTATTGACATGGAATTTTAATGTATTTTATGCCATGATCGCTTTCATTGACGCAAATGAATTTTGGTGTCATTATTTGGAAATTTAAATTTCGATACGCTAAATGTTAACAAGTCTAACACTCTTTAATTTTTTAATTTCTGTGCATTGAGGGAGCTATTTAATCTTAAATTTTATACATTTACCGAAATTTCTAAATTGAAAATTTACGATCAGTCAATTGTTGTCAAGAATCAAGTTTTAAAAACACATAATATCTGGGACCACAAGATAATGAATAAGCTGATATATATACAGTCCCATATCTGATATGGATGGTTGTCCACCATTAAAATTTGTTCGCCTCTAGATGTTAAACATCTTTACCACACATCCCCATTTAATTTTATTCAAATTATATTCCTATACATAAACCTGTCACTGTGTGTATTACATAGTAAATATACATGATTTTTATAGTTTGTTCTTATGTTGTGCTGTTACACCACTGTCCCAGGTTAGGGCGGGGGGCATTGAGCGCTCACAAACATGTTTAACCCCGCCACACTCTTCATGTGCCTGTCCCAAGGCAGGAGCCTTTAGTTCAGTGGTTGTCGTTGGTTCATGACTGTCATATTTGTTTTTCGTAAATTGTTTTGTTATAAGTAAGGCCGTTAGTTTTCTTAATTGAATTGTTTCATATTTTTCATGTCGGGGCCTTTTATAGCCGACTATAGGATGAAATTTGAAAAAAAGGCAGGACAGGAGTTTTGAGGAAAAAAAAGGCAGGATGAGCAACTTTACAAAACAAAAAAAAAAGGCAAGATGACATTTTCTGTAAAAAAAGTCAGGATAACTTATTAAAAAAAAAGGCAGGACCGAACAGAGTGAAAAATAAAAAGGCAGGACAGAGATTACAACTAAAAGAAAAACCCAGGACAAAATATTTCATCCTAGGCCCCCATAAAAATCAAATGGTAGCTCCCTTATGCAGTCATGATAGAGGACCACTTACACAAACGTTGTCAAGACGTCACCAACGTTACTATTGCTACATGTATAGTGCGGCAGTCGGTTTGACTAGCTGTTAGGATGACAGAGAATGTAAGTAATGTTAGCCGTCATTTATTCTTGGCGAATTAAGTTTTACCGTTCAAGTATAAGTGTGTTTTTGGCATTAGGCGTGTATATTATACATTTATATTGTACGACGATTCATTAAAACTCTGATACACTATACGTTGGCTCATCGCAAACAGACATTATAAAAAAAATAATAATTTAAAAGAACAATCGACAAAAATAAGTTTATGTGAAAAAATAAAATAAAAACATTTATATTAATTCTCACAAACTGATCTAAATGTTTTTAAATGTACCGACTTTGTGTCATTGTTTTAGACTAACCAAAAGATATAGAGCTGATAATGTTTTGTGGTCCAGTGAATTCCACAAAGTAACATTACTGTTTATGGAAAAAACATGTATTTACTAGTATACAAAAAGTCATGTAGTTGACTGTTCTGGCGCTAATTGTTTGAAACTTCAGTGTATTGGTGTATAGATCTGGTATCAATGTTTTTTTTGTGGACAAGGTAACCGGCTTTTCAGCGTGTATCGAAGTGACCTCTAATTCTTTGTGGAATTACGGAAATTCATAAAAAATTATCAACATAAAAAATATATACGACTCAAATATACAAATGCAGCTTATAAAAAAGAGAGAAAACATGTCAAAAAGGTTATTGTAGACCTTGCTTCGTTTATATACTTATTAGTGCACAAAATATCTTGACCAAAAGTTATTGACTATTGTTTCAGATGTATAGTGACGCCCTTAACAAATGAACAGGACACAAATACATTAAACGAAAACTTACAATTTACAAGGCAACAACTAGCAATCTTGAGCTACATGCATATATATCTTCAGAACGCCCCCCCCCAAAAAAAAACAAAAAAAAAATAATAAAAAAACAAATAAAAAACAAATAAAAAACAAATAAAAAAAGTAATAAAAAAATAAAATAAAAAAATTAAGCAACCAACTACAACGCATTCTCAAGTTCATTATATATTCATGTGAATATCTAGTAATAAAGTTCTAGCAGTTGCAATATAAAAAAAAACATGACCGAACTATGTACAGGCGATTGTTTTCTCCATCTTCCTACAATGTACAGGTGATTGTTTTCTCCATCTTCTAACAATGTACAGGCGATTGTTTTCTCCATCTTCTAACAATGTACAGGCGATTGTTTTCTCCATCTTCTAACAATGTACAGGCAATTGTTTTCTCCATCTTCTAACAATGTACAGGCCATTGTTTTCTCCATCTTCTAACTATATACGCGATTGTTTCTCCATCTTCTAACAATGTACAGGCGATTGTTTTCTCCATTGAGAATTGTTTGGCGACAACAAATTAGTTTAACCCCGCCATATTCTGTAGGTGCCTGTCCAAAGTCAGGAGCCTGTAATTCAGTAGTTGTCGTTTGTTGCTGTGTATCATATTTGTTTTTCGTTCATTATTCTGTACATGAATTAGGCCGTTAGTTTTCTCGTTTAAATTGTTTTACATTTGTCATTTTGGGGCCTTTTATAGCTGACTATGCGGTATTGGTTTTGCACATTGTAGAAGGCCGTATGGTGACCTATAGTTGTTAATTTCTGGTCTCTTGTGGAGAGTTATCTCATTGGGAATCATACCACATCTTCTTTTTTTATGATAACATATGTCTAGTTTTTGTAAATTCCAGGAAACCAATGACTTTTCAAGGAAGGAATTGGTAAAAGTAAGTATTTTATACTTTTTTAAGAATTCCATTAAAAAAAACCCTTATATAAAAATCCAAAATTATCCAAAGGAATATGGAAATGTTTAGTCACAGGTGGTTTTCAATTGAATATATTTTTCCAGGGTCCTTGTAGACCTACGATCCTAGAATAGATGGGTTGCTATATTATGAATGATGCAGAAATTTATAATATTACTTTCAATGTCCAAAGTACCAAATTAAGACTGAAGAATTAAATGTATGACTTGGCAAAGATCTTCACTCCAGATTGATTTTTTTTCACCTACAGGTTGTAACATCAGGTATAGGAGAACCTACACCGGGATTTGGTTTAGGTGTCATCGACAGGGAGGCAAAATCATTTCATTTCTATGAAAAAGAAAAACGAGAGGTAAGAGCATATCTTTTCTTGTTAAGTATTTAGTACTTGTCAGAACAAAGGTATTGTCAGTTTGTAAAGATACTTCTTCGATATGATGATAAAGTCATTGAAAAGGGTTGAAGCTAAAACCATCTAAATCCACAAACATATTAACGATATCATAAAAATACTATCATATATATTTTCATGTAAACAGTAATCTCAAAAGGAAAATGAAATTAGAATAAGCGAAGGATCATCACATTATAGCATTATAAGAGAGACGAAATATACCAAAGGGACATTGAACCTCAGAAGTCGAAAATAAACTGACAACGCCATGGCTAAAAAACAGTACTCAAAACACAACATAGAAACATAAAGACTGAGCAACACGAACCCCACCAAAAACTGAGGGGATTTTAAGTGCTTCGGAAGGGTAAGCAGATTTTGCTCCACATGTGGCACCCGTCGTGTTGCTCATGTTAGTACAAACCCGGTGATAAGTCTAATTCGGTAGGTCACATTCGGGGGAAAAGGGGACGGGATTGTAGTTACGACAATTTGAACATATCCGTTGTCATCTGTGAAAAGGATATTCCATAACGGTCAACCAACTCGTGATGGCGTCCATAAAATTTAAGAAGGGATGATTTCAAATTCGTCAATTGGAACTCTTGGTTTAATAGCTAGCATCCTTGCAAGCAGCAACCCTCTACAATGAAATCATGATAGGAATACAAGCACTGGAATATTGTTTCAACTGGGATATATATACTCTGTATGCAGGCGCTGCTAGAATGTTGCTACATAGAAATGGAAAGTTCACAATGGGGAAGCTGAAATCATCTCTTTTGTCGTAAAGTTTTATTTTCAACCGAGCCCTTATTGTCAATTTCTAGATGTAAGTCAATATATGAGGCAAACTGTATCTGTTGTACCCTTTATCTCAAGTTCGATGTGATAGATGCGCTCAACATAGTCATCAAATTTTGAATAATTAGGTGAGAGAACCTCATCTATATAGCGCAATACATGTATTGACAATCATACCACATCTTCTTATTTGTATATATTTGTATACTCACTTATTACGATTGGAAGGTGCATAAACATAATTCTAAAAGATAAATAGTCGGTTCTATAGTACACATCTATAAAAGTTCGTGATAAAAGTTACTGTAGTATTTTATGTTGATACAATTTCAGTCAGATGAAAATTGTGTCAAAGAAAAAGAGAGGAATGAATTAATATTTGGATGGGACAATTTACAGAACGATTCAGCTTCAGTTGTTCGTCCAAGGTTGATTTTTGTACGGAGTAAATATGATGAATTAGAAACACCGATTAGGATGAATACACAAGAAATGGAAACATCTGAAAATGTATTCAACAAGCCAGATGACAATCAATATGAAGGAAAACACCACGAAATTGAGAAGTATACCAATACTCTAAAAGAGGAAGAAGATGATAAACACATTACCCTTAAAAATGCATCTGATAAAAAAATAAGAAATTCAAAGGCCAACAATTTAGATAAATATAGCGGGACTGGTCATGGAGAGAAATCTATGTCAACAAAGCAGAAGGCTGATGACACTCGAAGTAGCATTTGTCTTGAAGAGAAAAACAATACTGTGAAACCAAACACTGATGACAAACACAATAAACTTTGTCGTGGAAAGAAATATGGGTCCGCAAAGGCAAATATTGATGAAAAACATTGTAGACTTGGGTCTTTAAAGCCTGACTCTGACGGAAAACCCAGTAGCATTGGTCCTGGAGAGAAATGCGGGTTTTCTGAAAGTGATAACCAAAAGAAATACAAGAATCCCGATAAAAAACGGAAACAAACCAAAAGAAAAACTAACCGAAAAACTAAGCAATTGTCAGACGAAATCAAAGAAAAACCAAAAATCGATTCCTTCAAATTAGAATCAGTGTTTACAGATAAGCCAATCAATCTTTATGTTGGCTTAGGTATGCAATTGTCACCACGGATAAGGCTTTCCCCGCTACCAATTAAACCAAAGGTCCATTTAGATAAACATCAGAGAAAACGCCGTGTGAAGAAACCATCCGAAGGAAAATATAGTGAAAAGACCGGCAATGGCGTCTCATCTGAAGTTGTTATCAATGTACGATCAACAGAGGAACAAATCGGCCAATCCAAAGACAATTTGCGACTACGATTGTCTTTCAAAAAACGCCACAGCGGTTCTGCAGGAAAAATTGAAAGTGTCGATGACATAAAGGAAAGCAAATCAAAGGCTGATTCCATCAAAACAGCTGAATGTTCAACATCATGTGAAGACTCACACGATACAGTTCGAAATTACTTTAAAGAAATCGTTATAACTGATGTCAACCAACTGGTACCAATTAATGCAGATTCCGCCGCCAAAGAAGCAGATACAAGTGTTCAAAACTCAGAAATTCAGGTTAGTTCCCGAAAGTGTCGCACATTTAATCATAGAAGTAATATTTTAGCACTTTATATAAAAATAAGATGTGGTATAATTGCCGACTTGACAACTCTCCACAAGAGACCAAATGACACAGAAATTAACATCTTTAGGTCACCGTACGGCCTCCGAGAAAACTAACGGCCTAATTAATGTATAAAATAATAAACGAAAAACAAATATGATACACAGAAACAAACGACAAGCACTGAATTACAGGCTCCTGACTTGCGACAGGCACATACAGAATGTGGCGGGGTTGAACATGTTTGGCGGGCGCCCAACCCTTCCCCCAACCTGGGACAGAGGTGCAACAAGACAACACAAGAATAAACTGTACAAAACAATGAACAAATAACAAATCTGATAATATACAGAAACGACAAAAAGAACCACTGAATTACAGGTTCCTGACTTAGGACAGGCGCATACAGAATTTAGTTTATTTTTCTCTTTATATAGGACTTAAACGACAGCTAATTTCTATACAAATAATGTACCTCATGCTCGAAGCCATAAAATTCACACGTAGTACACGCTTTCTAATTCAAAGCTTCAGATTATATATCATGTTAGTCAATTTTAATTTCTAATAGACAAAAAGCAAGAAAATGAAAAACAATGTCAGAAGAATACAGGTTCGAGAGTTCCAGAATGAAGAAGAAGAAAATGTCACAGAAGAGCAGACTGTATGTATACTCAATCTTTTGAGAACCTTTATGGTTGAAATGAAACTCTTTTAGTATAAGTCATAAGCGCTATAGGATTCCATCGAGTCATTAATCATCCTCAATCTTCCTTTATTATATATACTAGTACATTTCAAAATATTTTAATCGTTACAAAGGGTCGTGACTTTCATTCAATAGTTACATTGCAGATTACTTCAACAGCGGTTGATTTTGTGTATTGACTTATTTTTTTGTACTTGGTAAGTGTCTATTCAAATATTGCACATATTTTGTAATCTTGGTCAAATTAATTCATTTATACCTTGTCTGGATTTGGGAGACGAGGCGAGGTATGTTGTAAGATACTAGTTTATTTGTTAAGAAAGTATGTTGACCGTTATATGTATTTACTTGTTTAATTGTTATTGTTTGGTTACTGTCCTATTGCCTTACAAAACTCTTTGCGTTTCGCAATAAATCTTATTTCAAACTCTTATAAATTCATGTTAAATTACGATTGGTTTTATGGTTAAAAAACTTACGAACAATTGCATACTTTCATTTCTTGCTTTGCATAGGAACAAACAACAGTCGTCGTATGGACATCGAGATAAAATAACGAACAATGAAACTGAAGGAAATCCTAACACTCATAAACCTGTAGAACACTATTAGAATCTCCACGAAAATTGAATATATAGTATACATAGAATGTTTCGTTTAGGCCAATTAAAAACAAAATACTTGTGTTACCGCTAACTCTACCTATCCTAAAGATTATTTTGTCACCTTTGAACAAGTACTGTTAAAATAAGAGTGTTTCCACTGTATTAATCAGTCAAATTTTTCAAAAATAAATATATTTGCTTGTCTACCTACCCTACATTTCTAGCATGTTAGCGGAAACGCAAGTTTTTTTGTTAGGTCTTCTGTAAAAATATATGTGAATGAATGTTATCGATTTTTAATGGCTTATGCGGATGGTTTTCTTTTTTTTGTTTGTCGTTGAGTTTGTTTTTTTTTCATATATATCTAACATTTTATATTCATTTTTATCCATAGTTCATAACTAGAAATATTGTTAAGTTTGTACTGACGCATATTATGTGGAAACATAAGGATAGAATTATCAATATATAGCAATGGGGAATATTTTCTTATACCATCAATAGAAAGGAAATATTCAAAAGAAATTCTCATATGTATATTTTCGGACTTTATCTAATTACAACTATACTGTATATTTAACAGGGTCCGGCTGAAACAGAAGTTGATGAGCCTTCAAATAAAGCGAAGTCAAAATTCAAAGTCGGAAATTTAATGAAATACATTGATGGAAAAATGTCCAAGTTCAGAAAACTGTTGAAGAATTGATAATTGTATCCAAGAAAAGGATATTAAGAATCGTTGAAAATTAGATATGAAATAAAATTAGCACCATTAATGCCTTCACTTGTCAATAATACGTATACATGTGTTTAGATTTTCTGTTTACCCTCCTCAATAGGTGACTATTATTTCATAGTATCGTCGCCCCACGCCTTTTATCAGCCTTACAAATTATACTTTTTTTGCAATAGATCATTCTGCATGAAACCTGGCACTACTGATGCATGTATGGAGTGCTTTTCACCAATACATATTCGTTTATTCAAAAAAGAATATGGTCACTGAGTATATTATTTTTCTAAATTTTCCTCGGATAACTTGCTTTCTGGTTTCCCCGGAATATTTTAGGTTGTGGTTAGTCTAAGCAATTTAGTTAATGCATTTCATATGCCACATACGATAACGTCGACTGAAATATGAATAGATAATTTAGCATTAAGGAATGTCTGAATGGATTACAGTGTAATTAGAGATTGATGATCGGGCCAAAAATGTAAAAAAGAATCGACAAAAATGGACAAAAAGATTATAGAGAGAAACATTGACCAAAATATAAAGAAAAGAAAATGATTATTTCCCCTTTATCACAATCATGATCTCCTCTTCATCATGATATGATAGGCGTTCGAAGAAGCAACGTAAAATTACACATTACATAACATGGGACTATATTTCATTTGTGAAGAAACATGTAGTATATTGGGCAGTACAACAAACCACACAAACCACCAACACCCCACTCTTCCGAAGAAAAAGACGCATTCTGAGAGTATTGCAGGGCAATACATAGTCCCCTACCGGGTAAAAATTCATTATACTGGAACAAAATGCTAACTTGTTCTATAACTTGTCATGGTGTAAACAAAAAGAAAATATCAAGTCAATATCTTCAAGCATGTCTAAAAACAGAGTGGAAAACTGATTAAATGAGTGAATTTTCAAGTCCAAGGACCATAACTCTGCACAAAATTATCAGACCGAAACAAAAATTTGAACTTGATCTGTAACTAATATTAGATGTGATTAATAGTTCTCTAAAATTAGATATGATGTAATACAATGTATATTTATTTTCAAGTTATAATCAAATATAATAAATAGTTCCAAATATTTTTTCTTTCATTTGTCACAAACTAATATAGATTTGTAACTTATCTATAAAATGTCAATAACTTTTATCTATACACAATGTAATGTAATGAAATATATACCTTAATAAAAATAGATTATTATCTAATTAAAAGATTTCACTTCATAATTTTTTTTTATGTATATAGCATTCAGAAAATTATTTTACAAAATAAAAAACACTTCAAACAATTAACCAAAGAATGTCTTTAAAAAAATGAGTTATCTCTCTTTGTACAGAAATATGGTTTAACATACAAAATGTAGTACTCTAACATAAGATATGGACCATAATAACTCTGGACTTAATCATCAGACCGGAACAAAATTCGAACTTGATCTATAACTTGTCATGATAAAACTATATATCAAATATCAAATCAATATCTTCAAGAACGAAGAAAAAAAGTGTGGAAAGCTGATTTGCCGGACTGACGGATGGACAGACGGACAGACAGACGGACGGAGTGCAAACCTAAAGTCCCCTTCGACTTCGTAGGTAGGGGACTAATAAACGATCAACCCTTTAACAGTGACAAACCACAGCGGTCAATCCATGGTCAAGATAGCCTGGCTTAATTGGCAGAGGCAAATAATTGAATCAGTGGTTATGTGCACACAAACTTAACCCTTTGCCTATCTATGCCACATGTCGTAAACGCTAATAAAAAAACACAATAAAAATATTTGCACAGTGCAGCTACCAACAGGATGATTATCAATCTAAATAAGGAAATAAAATATGGCACATAGTCTGCTCAGATGTTGATTGAAAGACTGAAATCAAATAAAGGATGCGTAATTACAAAACTTAAAGAAGTAAAACAGCATTAGCTGAATACCACCAGTGGGTTGGATGAAGTACGTGGTATGCGATCCATCATATTAGAATAGGAATTTCAAAGTGAGACAGCTACCTAAATCCACAGTCAAAGACATTTCGGCATAAACAATGTGAGCAAGGCTCGCAAGATCATACCACAAACAGCTCTCCTACAAGTATTTTTTATAAAAACCAAAAACCATTTGATTCAAATATAAGATTGACACTATACAATAAGCCCTGAATATTGTGAAAGATTCAATGAAATAAGGAAGAATGACTGAGAATAAACCGTACTAACCTCGTTTGCATACATGGCAAACTTTATTTTATTGTCATTTCCTTGTAATAATGGACAATAAAATATAACCTAATTTCGAAAGAGTTGCGGATACGAAGTACCGACGCTTACTGTCTACCGGACGAATAGTTGAACGACAACACTGATGTCGGGCACTGACTATAGCTACCGGACGAATGATTGAACGATAACGCTGACGTCGGGCACTGTCTACCGAACTATAAAGATTGAACGATAACACTGACGTCGGGCACTGTCTATCGAACTAACGATTAAACGATAACACTGACGTCGGGCACTCTACCGAACTAACAATTGAACGATAACACTGACGTTGGCCACTACCAAACTAACGATTGAACGATAACACTGACGGTGGAACTGTCTAGCATACAAAATATTGAACGACAGGACTGACGTCGAGCATTGTTTACCGGAGGGAAGATTGAACGAAAACACGAACGTTGGACACTATCTACAACACGAAGGATTGAACGATTCATTACCGGTATCTACCGGACAAAGGATCGAACGATAAACTGTCTACCTGACGACGGATTGAACGATAAATCTGACAGCGAGCTAAATACCTCACACTATAACTCCCTATTATTTCCTGGCAAAGAATAATGCATGATTAGAAAACGATTGGCGCAAATGCTGAATTAAAGATGTATGTATATGTTGTTTTTACAAGTAATAGAAGAATAGGGCATACGTTAATAAAACAACAACACACCAATGACACTTTTCAAATCAACACACAAGTCTTTAAAAAAAAACCCAGGTAAATGGCTTTGCCATATACCGAAACAAATTTACCTAGATCCGAATCGCTTGAATATAGAAAATCAATAAGACTTATAATTAGCAGACCACACATACATGTAACCAAACAAATGTACCCAGATCTGAATCGCTTGAATTTAGAACATACTTACAACTTCTCGTCCAATCAAATTGCTTATATTTGCCTTCTAATTTTCATAGTACATACTTTTCCTGTGTACTAAGTAACTACGCATGAATGACCACAAGGGTAAGATTTCATTGTATCGTAATCAAGATATTTATAACAAAAATTGCCACTGGCTATTTTGAAATAAAATGCTGTGTTCCAAATTAAATTAAATAGTTTGTAATTAGTTTTCACATTGATTTTTAAATATCCTGCTATTAAAATCTTTGGATCTAAAAAATGTTTTTGACAATTGCAAATTTTATCATTTAAATAAAGGGTAATACATATGGTTCTCTATACCTTGATTAGAGTACAACGACATCTTAAAATTATGATAATGTATCATCCATGCAATTACTTTGTTCACAGAAAAGTGTGTACTATGAAACCTTTTGAAGGAAAATTAAAGCAAATTGGTAATAATTTTTTAAACTTTCTTAAGGAAAGTGATCTATTTCGTCATGAATTGAATGATTTATTGATTATTGGTTGCTTAATGTCCAGTGGCAAATATTTCATGCATGTTCAGGACGATGTCATGAATTGAAAAACTGTGATTATGTCTGAAGATAATGTGCCACCTATATATTTAAACATATTCTGATAAATCTTTTAGTTTTTACTTTGAACTAATAAAAAAAAAAATACAAAACCTATAATCTCTGATCTATTTGTAGTTGCTTTTTAATGCCTATCTGCTAGACTATATCTTTGGGGACAAACTATCTATATGTTTCAAATTTATTATAGCTTGAGTTTTACTGTGAAATTAAAAAATGTTTTCAAAACATGTAAAGCTTCCACTGCAATTTAATTATTGCCTGCTTTTGGTCAATTTATTTTGTCATCTTACCTTGTAAGAAGAACATGTATAGTAAAACACTGCTTTATATCAGTATACATACTTACACCTGCAGCTACCATCTTTTCATTCTGGAGTGAAGGGCCTTTTGAAATCACATATTTTACAATGATACTAGTGAGTAGATTTACAAAATTCGTTAATGAGCTCCGTTTTACAAACACCTGTGATACAAGTAGTCAGCCAAAATAAACTATCAATAGACCAATTAAAAGATTACTCGAGTTGTAAATATGTGCTAAATTGGATAGTCTATGGAAAGGTATATACTATGAAATTTAGAGCGAGGGGCAAGCCCCTCGCTCTAAATTTCATAGTATATACCTTTCCATAGACTAACCTAGACATAAAAAATCAGCAAGACTACGTACAATATGTATCTAGTATTGATCGTTGCATGGTCAACGCTGGTTTTCCATGATATATTATAACTCGTACATCAGAGGAAAGACCGCCGATTAGTGTAAACTTTTGCAAGATTAACGTACCACTCATTTCAGAACAGAGATGACCATCGCTTATTTTCGAACTCAATAAGATGTTATTTGTGGTAACGCTGCGTATTCATCATTCGACCAATATATTGCTGATACTAACCTTCCATATAAATTTTACCAAAATGAGTTTAAATTTCAAGATGCCGGAGAGCAGATACAAAGATGAAGGCACATATAAAAAAAGATGTGGTATTATTGCCAATGAGACAACTCTCCATCGGAGATCAAATGACGTAGAAGTTAGTAGTTTATATCTTAAACCATTGTGGTGACGTCAGCCTATTCATTTACCGTGGATTCTTTTTCTAGAATCAACGCTTCCTAAATCTGCCACTGAAATGGACTCACCAAATTATATTCAATTGTTTCCTTTGTGTGTCTAATTTCATTAAGTTTGAATTGGCTAATTTACTGATTTCTGTTCACTAATGGAATTAATTTAAAAACTTACTTTTAATTTTGTAATTTGT